ATGCTATTATCTACTCCATACATTAATGAGTATATCATCTATACACTAATTACTATATCATGTTAATATCTATTCTATACATTAATGATATCATGTTATTATTTATTCTATACACTATATCATATTATTATCTATCCTGCACTTTGTTTCACTTTTTCAAATATGATATAAGATTTTATAAGTTTATTAAGAATAATAAAGTTGATGAAAATTTTCAATCAGTAATTAATTGGAAGAACTGATACGATAATGTAACATAATAGCAATAATTATCAAAATAAAATAGGAATTAGAATTGCTCAATGAGATAATAATCTCTATCAAAAATATTTAAGTAAATATTTGAATTGTACGAGTAAAAAAGAATACTTTCAATTAGAGATCTATCGCTTTCAAGAAAATCCCTACGATACATATATTCATATTTATAGTTTAAAGCTTAAAATCAACATATTCGTTAACAAAACTTCTCATTTCTAGAAAAGCAAAAAAAAAAATCAGTAAATGAATAGAAATGAAAGAGTATTAGAGGAAAATTTGCCTCAATAAATCTGTAAAATTTAAGCTGAATTGAAATAGCCAGTACGAATATGAAACTAATACTTTCAAATCTATTTACTATAAAAAAAAAATCTTTACAATATACAATATAAATACATTAAAGAATTAAAATTAAAAAAAAAGAAACCTTACTATGAATTCTTTTTCTGTATGTCTGATACGAACGTATGATGTCATACGTGTACGAACGTATGACGTAGCCAAATATATATGAAGTGAATTTCATAATACAATGATCGTATATTATGATAATGATGTATCGTATATCACACTTCATTGATTCTTCTTTCCATTCTTTTTTTTTTTTTAAAAATTATCTCATAATTTCTAAATATACTCATCTAGTTAATTTATTTCAATTATAATCTTCAACTATCAGAGAACCATTTTAAATCTTACACTTTTAAATTCTCATTTTTATCCTTTACACATATACGATAGATGATCCTATTCATCTCATTCATCTATCACATTATTCATTATCCATGATAAAAGTATAGATAGAAGAGAGACAGGTAGATGATAATGGTATAGCTAATATCATCATTAATTGAAACATTCCAATTCCCATTCGTCCCCCCCCGCCCCCCTTCCCCCTTCTTTTCATTGCTTCCCATTAATGGGTATATAGTAAGGGAGAGAAATTGAGAAAAAGATTGGAGGACATTGAAGTACGGGGTAGTCATAATAATGATTACAGTGATTGCGATTGCTCTGTCTTTCTGATCATTTTTATTTGCACTTCACTAAAACGCTCAAATTCTCGTATAGAATTGCGCGTAGCTCTCCTGTCTATCTGTATATTAAGCAGAAGAGGGGAAAAAAAAAGGAAGAGAAAAAATGAAAAAAAAAAAAGAAAGAAAATTAAATGAAACATTTTCGATGAATGTATACGTTTTTTTTTTTTTTTTCTAATTTCATTTTGAAGCATTTCCTGTGCTACTACAATACTAAGCATCTTTTTTTTCCCAGCTAATGTGTGTGTGTGTGTTACATAGAGTGCAGTGCACTATGCGAAAAGGTATAGCGATAAGAGAGAAGCAAATGCCACCAAGAACGTTCACTATGAGAAAAACTTTTTCCATTTTTTTTTTTTTTTCAATTCTAGACGTTCATTTTCCATCAAAAGTTACACTATTTTTGATTCTTACACACATCTTTCATATTACTACTGTTCCTGTTCCTGTTCCTATTCCTCTTCCTCCTCCTCTTCTCTCTTCTCTCATCCTTCTTTACCTTTTCCATCTATAACTTAATCCTACAAATATTTTTTACAAGTAATAAATGAATTGCATGCTTAACTTTTCATCGCTCATACATATACTCATCCATTTTTCATTCTTATAACTGATTAATATCACCTTTCTCTTTTCATCATTTCGTTCCAGTGCCTTTTTTTTTTTACTACTTCAATTCAATACACTCATAAGAATGTCGCAATTTTTTTTCCATTCAAATATTTGCTGTTAATTTTGAAAAATTTCTATTTATTCAAAGAAACTTGCATGTTGCAAAAAAACAATTTCTTGTGACAGTTAGTTTTGTGGGTGTAAACATGTGACATATGTATGCATAGCAGTAGTTCAAATTTCTCTTCTTATTTCATTTGAAAAATCAATGCACTCTTTGCAATGATCTGCTTCTCAGAAACAATAATCGCTGTTCAATATTTAATGATCCATTAAATAAGAGATCTGAAAAAGGCTAATTAATATGACTCACCTGAAGATATCGTTGATGAGTATTGAGGTGTATACTGTCCTTTATATTTGAATAAAAAAATTACTTGATGATAAGCTTTTTACGATAAAGCAAGATAAACCAATAGCTTGCACGAAACTCTTACTTTTGTCATCAATAAATTATTTGTGAATATAGTAATGAACAAAATGAAGTTGTATTTCATTGAAGATTACGTGATTTTACATAATTTTATTATTGTTCCTGATATTCTTACTTCGAGATCATGGTAGTTCATCAAGGGTTGTTCTCCATATTCAATCCTAAATTTTGATAAAGATTGCAGGGATATTCGAGGCAATTACATAAGATGAACCAATATAGGCTACATCAAGGCCATCTTGTCATCTTTGGCTTACAAAGACTCTCAAGGAAATTATTGATTGTATCAAATCAGAGCAAATAAAAATGGTAGAACTTTTTTACATAGAAGTCTCTTACAAATTAATTTTAATTCCCTGTAATAATTCCAACTTTTTGCCTCATCTGGTATGTTCTTCAAATATCTGACAAAGATATAAATTAAATTAGCCACTTTATAATTTTCGTATTTGGGTCCCATATCTGTTTCACTTATAATGAAAATTTTGCATTTTCAGAGCCTCTGAATTACTTTTTTTTATTCGAAAGTAGTAGAATTCCTTGAAGCAGTGGTATAAAATTAATATAATTATATCCATGTTTCCCAGATAGCAATATAATATTTTGCATATGAATAAGCATAAAATAAATATCTATATGCGAAACAATAATTCTTTACATCATCCATAAATGTACATTAATATTTAATCGAAATATTTCTAAAAATGTGACATTAATCATCTGTAATTGAAAAGTAACAATACCAGTTAATAGAATTGAATTGGAAAATGTAGCTACCAGCATTATGCTGTGAATTTTTATAGATTTATGATATTTTGTTTAACATATAGAAATTATATCATCAAAGATAGTCTGCACAGTCTGTATTTCTGTGAGTATCATTTAAAATATGGAATTTCAGACTATGTTTTCTTAATTTATGTCATTTTATTTTGTAATCCGATATCATTTGTATCGTACCTTCTTCTTGCGAACAAATCTATATAAAGTATCTACGGAAATATTGACTGTAATTATAGAAGGCATTACTGTATGGATTTATTATGTATATAGATTAGTGATATAAGAAAAATCAGAAAAACCTCTTTCGTTTGATATAATTGAAATGAAAATAAGTTGAAATACCTTTCAATGGAAATTTGCAATCATTGACGTGTTAGCACGTATGATATCATCAAACACATATTCGTAATGTTAATATTCCGATTAATTTTTTGCTTTTTTTTAATGCTTCCAGATTTGATAAGGCATTTCTTCTATCTATTCAAGTGTAGCTGCTGCAATTTATAAAATTAAACAAAAAAGAAAAAGATGATGAAAAAGTTGTTTGTTTTCAAGAAAAAAATGATAACAATTAAATTGTTATCCCTCGAAAATTTTGAAATGCAGCAAATAGCAATCGAAAATGAATTTAAAGCACAATTCAGATGTAGAGAGAAAGAAAGAGAAAGAGAGAGGAAGAAAGGAAAGAATTGACCTAATATGTAAGTCAATTTTAATTTTAGATCGATGGCGCAATAGCGAAGACAAACGTCATCGAAAAAAGTCTCTTCCCACATCATTCAAGTTATGAATTTTTGTGCTGCTAGGATTCTTATATGCTAAGTGAAAATGAACGTAAAAGTATGCTTTTAGTATTTCTTACCTTTAAACCAGTTTCAACATTTCCAATCTTCCCGTGACCAGAAGAAGTATTTTAATGGATCGTGGAACTCAGATAGGTCTGGTAAATTTTTACATATTACATGAGAAATTTTTAAAAAAAATTGTATACAATACATGCACATACGTGATTTGCAATAAATGTACGTGCATGTGTAACATTTCTTTCCCGTGCACAACTAAGAGAATGAAGAAAACCCTTTCGTTGACAGAATGACAGCTCGCTGTCACCTATCATCAGTAGAAGAATTTCAAATTCGCTGGTCCGTCCAGTCACTTTGTAAAGGCATAAGACGGTCCGACCTCTTTCTGATATTTTGATTGCTTAGGTGGGCCTTTTTTTAGTTAGACAAGTTGGAGTTATTTTGTTTGCATGTTGCAGAAAGAAGAAATAAGGAGTATAATTTTGATTTCTACAAAGGATTAAACTGGAAGATTATTCATATATGTTTTTACGCTAGAAATATTCATATATTCATCAACACTCCAAGAAAGACTTTCAAATTCGTGTAATCTCTTAACTTTTGTTCTATTGAGTACAAGTAAGCTTAATCTTGAGCTAGGTAGGCTAATTTGAATGAATCAAAAGGATCAAGTCAGATAAACGTGTACAGTCATGATTTTTTTGAAGTTTCCGATACCAAAATATCATCATTATTAACATTGTGATGAAGTGAATATATTGAATTGCTTGAGATATGCCTAATCGAATTATCAGTTAACCTACATACAATTAACATATTTATTTTTATGTTTATCGTTTCTTTTTTTCAACTTATTTGCATGAATCGTGATTCTTGTATAAGTGAGGATTAAAATATAATATGGTTTGTATGTTGCAAGATTATAGTGAAAATAATAGCTGAAAGGAAAGGTGGATAAACATAATATTGGGGCCGAAACAATAGTTGTTCGATCGTTTCTATGCAATTTCTATGAATGGTGCGCCAGGGGGTTCTCGGCAGTCGCAGAAAGCACCACCGGAAGGCGGTCCTCTCCGCCAACCTGCTACTATTCGTACCCCTACACAACAACAGCAGCCTGCTGTCTCGGTGGCTATTTTTCCGCAACAGAATGAAGCTGGCCTTAGCTGTCAGGTCTTTTTATACCTTTTTTTTTTTCTTTAGAACAATTTCCTCCAGTCTCTTTCTTCTACGTTTTCATATAATTTTTATGATTTCAGCCTAGCACTGTTCCGTCATCACAGGCATTTCCTAGTGCTGTGCAACAATCAACAATTCTGAGAGAACCGTTCCCTGTGCTACATTCGCCCGCTGTCCAGCATCCGATGGGTTGGCCAACACAGTTTGAAATGCAGGTCAGATTATAGGCTATATTTGGAATAGTTTGAAAAACAGTGGTTTTAAATTCGAAACCTGTATTATAGGAAGCATGAGTGCTTGCATGATTTTGCACACTTCATACGTATTCTTTTGAATGGTAATTTTTAATATATTATTACCTGTTCGTCTAATAAAGTACAGAAGAAAACGATTGAGATGGAAAGCTTCATTTCACATCTCATTTCACACCTTGAAAGCTTTTTCTCACACTCAAAAATGATTTTGAATAGAGTATCATTTGGAATATGTTTTTTATTATCAATGTTATATATGAAATTTAGCTTTTTTAAGATGTTTCCAACTTTCAGAAAGTAACTCGTAGCTTCTTTATTCTCCTTCCTTAATCCTTACTCTTCCTTTCTTCAGTTTTCAGAAGAATTATTGCATCTGAACCTCTTCTCCCCAATAGTTGTTCAATCGTACCATCTGGCTTATGTTGTCCACATTTGCTTTGTTTGAAATCCATTCCAAAGTTTTAGTTTTTGGTACATTTGATTTCTTAGAATTCATTCAAATATATGTTACAGCTACTGCAGTCCGCCTCCTCACAAGTTGCTGCTGGATTACGCTATTCTCAACCATCAACGAGCCAGCAACCGCCATCTGGAACAGATATAACAGTGGGCATATCACCACTTTCATCTCTATCTTCTCCTTCCATTTCCAATGCCTCATTATTAACGGGTATTGGTTTAAGTCCGGGTTCCGGTCCTGGTTCTGGTCCTGGTTCCGGTTCTGGTCCTGAACCTGGCTCATCTGGGCAATCACCACTTCAAATGTTGGGCGCCATGAATCCAGCCCTTTTGGCACAGTATCAGGTTATTTTAGCTGCCGCTGCGCAACAGCATCAAGCTGCTGCAGCGACAGCTGCGACATTAGCTGCTGTATCTGGTGG